CTTTACTCGATTAAACTTACTTTCACCTTATTTTTTATTCGCAATTAAAATTGCTTTTAAATTTTATTGTATCGCGCGTTGGAATCAATATTGCCACTATAATTTTTTCGGTTGGGTAGGAATAAATAAAAAAAGCCATACAATTTTTTTATTTAAAAACTTTAAGACTGAACCAGTACATATTTTCAAGTCTAAAAAGTATACAAATGTTTAGAAAAAAGCTGTGTACAAAAATTAAACCAAGATTACTTCAATGTTAAATTTAAATGAAGTAACTTCACAATGTTTCAGGCAAGCAGCTCGCTTTGCCTTCGACGATATTATCAAACCCGTCAAAAAGATCATAACTGCAGCACCAATTCTAATCATAGTCAATGAGAAATGTTGTCATTCCTGAGAGAAAAAGAGCAACGTGTTTATTTCTTCATAAAACGACAACTGGTGCATAGAAGAGGTCAAAAGGTCATCGCAACTTATTATTGGAACCAAAATAGGCAGAATTACTATGTTATTTGACCAGTACGCTCTTCTACCGTTCCCTCTTTTTAAAAATACTTCTGGGTGCATAAATTCTAGGCACCAACGCTCATGAAATTTAGAAAACGTGAACAAAATTTCAAAACACAAAAAGTGCGGTTGTAGGAGGGGGCTGGGGACGGGGAGAGGTAAAAGAGCCAAAATATATTATTCAACGTAATTGAATATCTATATTTATAACGTACAAAGCGCGATCTCAGCGAAGCAAGTTAATTGTCCCACAAAGATTCATATTCAGGAATCAAATCAATTTGTAAACGATTGTTCACTGTGCTAAGTATCAAAGCTCAAAAAATTTGTTTGTTTTGTTTTTTCTTAACAGTCGAAGCAGTGCTATCTAACCGATATTAGCAATCAACCCAGGAGTTTTTAAGTTCATTTGATGTTCCGAGCACTAACTGAATTACCGAATTGTGGAAGGCTATTAGCAATGAGTTTTTTTCATGTCCAACTTTTCGACAAGCAAAAAAACTCCCGAGAAAGTTCGGTAGTTGGATGCAAACTTTGTTATCAATATAAAAACCAAAAAGGCGCCAAAAAATCAATACTGTTTATTCGGTGGCCAGTCATAAAGCAGAATGGTCTAAGAGCAAATAGGTCCAAGAGCAGAAAAAAAGAAAAATGTCAACTTCTATAAGCTAATCGGTAAAATAATTATCAGAAATGTTGAAAATATCAAAGCAACGAACATTTTATGCATAGTTTGAGCAATTTAATCAAGAATTTTAGTCAATTCATGCATAAATTATTCGTTTTCTTGGTGTTTTTTGACGATTCTAATAATTGTTTTATCAATTAGCCCGCACATAAACCAATGTAAGTCAATATTTTTCTGTTTTTCTGCTCTTAGACCCATTCTGCACTTGGACCATTCTGCTGATTGCTCCGCCTCCTGTTTATTTGGATACCTTTGTGAAAGCGACCGTTAGTTGACGTACATACCTCAAACCGCAGTGTTTGTTGAGCTTGAGTGTGGTATTAAAGTTAAATTCTTTTTCAAATGATTTTAGGAGAATGATTTGAAAACTTTCTGAAACTGATTTGAAAATGAAGTTGAAAAGCTCTTTATTTGCCTTTCCTATCACTTCAAAAACTAATCACAGAAAAATATTGTTCTTCTTATTTTTTTAATAATGCCGCCGTTCAACTACAGAAAAACATGAATTCGGATGTATCTGCTCGAATTATCAAAAAATATTCGAACACTATTTAGAATTGTGACGAACGCAAAGTCGAACACGAAGTATGGTCAAAACATATTTGAACACAAGGTAGAATACAAAGTGTGATCGAAAAATAGTCACAAAATCAAAGCAAGACTGCTTGTATCAGGGTAAAGACCTGGATGTTTCGATTGCATTTTAAGGTCTATGGAGTAGTGTTCGCTGTACGCAATTGGCTGACATTTTGATAAAAATGAAAAATAATTGAAAATCAACCCTTCTAAAGCTATTTAAAATACAAAGTGATACATTTGGCTGATAGCGAAGTATTAAAAAGACAGAACAAAAGGCTCGCATTAATTCAATTTGGAATAAATTATAAGACGGATTAAATCTGAGCTTTCCGCGTTAACAGCACGAAATATATCGCTCGTTGATAGTCCCAAAATGACAATCTTTAAATCGTCATACGTTCACAAAAAACTATCATTGGTAAAACATCATTTTAAATAGCTCGCTCAAGACAACAAAACTTTTCAAATGACATGAACGCTATAAATACAACATTGCTAGTTCGAGCCAAAAACAAAAAATACTGATCTTTACTGACTTTTAAGTGGATTTTTGCCATCAAAAGATAACACAGAAGCAAAATGTAAACAAGACTGCTCGTATCAATGCGAAACCCTGAATGCTCCGACTGCCTTTTGAGGTTTATGGAGCAGTAGAAACATGAAAAAATTAAATGTAATAAAATAAATTGAAAAAAATCTAAAATTTGAAACTTTTTTTTTATAGAATCATCCCCCCACACGCCATATAAAGTACGAAAGAATATATTTCGCCCATTGTAACAAATCAATTAAGGCAAATAAGCTTCCTTCAAACAATTTGGAACAATTTCTAAGAAGGATTAAATCTCCGCTTACGCGTTAATAACGCGAAATATATCGCGCGTTAATTGTCCGAAATTGACCAAAATGGCAATCTTTAAACGACCATAACCTTACGAAAAATGGTCACAAGTGAAATATCTTTTCAAGCTCAGGGCAACAATAGCTTTCAAATGATATTGAAGAATCTCGTCGAAAATGGCTAGTTAAAAAGTCGAAGTTTCTCTGAAAAAAAAACCACCCCGAGCCTAAATATTCCGTTACTTTCGTATCGAAAGTCGGGACAATAAATTTGCAGATATTTAAACATGAAAATAAGCTTGGCTCGCATTTTAAATGCGACCCATATGAAACAACGCCAACGAAAAGCATGCGCCGTGAGGTTGAGAAAGATATGAAGCCTTTTTGTGAGTTAAGGACAACAAAACGTCTTCAAAAAGATGCTAGAAATTAATCAAAGCAAACGTAAACCTTAAAAGTTAGAATATCAGTTATCAGCCAAACAGAAAAATAAAAAGCAAAACCCATATGCCAGTTGTCTGTAGCAAAACAGCTCAGTTTTTTTTATTTGCATCAGCTATTGAGCAATTTCCGTTTTTTGAGGATAACATCTGTTATAGAGCTAATTTACACTCATAGGTAGCCCCTTTTTTGAGGTTCAAACTTTTTCAAGCCTATCGTGAAGTCTAAAACAATGCCATCACAAAGAGTTCAAAAAAAAACAAACGACTCAGATATTAGTCTTAAGGGTCAATAGAAAAAATTTTAACAGAACAAAAAAGACAATATTACGGCTTATCTTGACCTTATTCTAAACAGAAATTTTAAAATTAATTAAGAAAAAAAAAGCAATTTTTTTTTAAACAAAATTCTCCAAATAATTTTATAAAATTCCGGAAAATTATATAAATCGGTAGCTTGTTAATGTTTGTCGAAAAAAAATTTCGCCGAGAGAAATCAGAGAGAAATTTCTCTCGACCGTTTTTGGTCGAGAGAAATCAGAGGAAATATGAGTGTTTGCTTTTGAGCGAGATGCTGTGGATTGTTATAACCCAGAATAATATTAAAACAAAAAAGTGCCATTTTCAATATATAACTGATCAGATCTGGTAACTAGCTTGTTATATATTAGGCGACTCGTAAAACTTTGAAGGCCTAGGGAATATTGTGTGCTAAGAATATCAGTTCAAAAAAGACTGTTATGATCGGAGCACTTTTTTAAAAATGCCATTGAAAAAGTTATAAGGAGTTTTTTTAATTTTCACTAATTTTTTGTATTTTTGATTTTTCAAATTTTCTGTGAGCAGATTGTGTTGATCAGAGATAAAACTCAGATATTGCAATTAATTTGCTTCAAACTAGTCAAATTTGCGGGAGATTAACCTGTTGTGAAACTAAAACATATGAATTACTTTTTCTTGACGATAACAACTGATTTTGAAATGCAATGAAATGGATTCAAAAGCAATAATTCAAAGTTTTTAATATACCCCGCTAATACCTCGCGCGAAGTTAAATTAGCTTATCTAAAAGTGTGCAATGAAATGTTTGCATCACTTCATAGTCTCTCTTCAACGCTCGTCATAACCTTGCTAAAAACCGAACAATCGCAAATTTCTTATAGTTTGGGAGGGAAATCTTGCCAACTAATTTTTGAATCCAAATCTGCTTTAAAAAAAGTTGATACAAAAAATGATAAATTTTCTTTGAACTGCATATATTTAGAACATAGTTTGAAGATTCTAGACTAGAATTTTGTTCAATTGCATGGAACACTATGATCACAAAGTTCCATGCAAGAGTATGAAATGCTGGTCCTAGAATCTTCAAATTGTGTTCTGAATATATGCTGTGCGGGGAAAATTAATCACTATCATTACGACGCCAGACTCGGTTTATAACCAAAAAAAAAACAGTTTTAGGGCCTTGCCTTTAAATTCCAATACAAAAAGATTTCAATGTCTTCACAAAATTCAACAAGGCTGCTCGTATCAAATCAAAGTCAGTATTAAATAGACCAAAGAGCATGCCTCAATCAAATTGGGAACGATTTCAAACACGGACTAATTTTTTGCTGAAGCGTTTGAAACAAGTCGAAGTTTGTCTGGAGAAAAAAAACCACGCCGAGCTTAAATATTCCGTATTTTCTTTAAAAATAGTCGGAACTATAACAAATGACTAAAAATTACACAGTTCCAACTATTTTTTTTCAGACATGGAATTCACAGCTATGTGCATATAATAGCAAAATGGTGGGATCGGGGGACATTGTTGTTGGAAAGCCAGAAACACTTAGCGTTCTAATGAAACGTTTTTGTAAATTTTGCTTGTAAGAAAGATTTGAAACGAACTTTACATTCACAATAGAGACTCACAAATGAAATCGCTTACCATTCATTGGCTCTGAAGCATTTTCATAAAAACATCAATGACTTTCTACTATAATTACAAGATTTAAAATGAAGCTAAATTTGAATATTTCCAGGACAATTATTTACAAGTTGTGGTCTAAATAATCTCGCTTTGATGTTTTCTGACTACGCTGCACGACTTTATTGGTCATTCTTAGACACCTTTGGAACCTTCATAAGCTTCATTTTCGCCAAAAACGGTGGCTTGTTGGTTCCACATTTCGGAATAGATGCTTCCAGAGGTGTCTATCAATTCTTGATGAGTTCCTCGCTCAACTATGACCCCGTCTTTGAGGACCATGATCATGTCCGCATTGACCACAGTGGACAATCTGTGGGCTACTACCAGAGTGGTCCTGTCTTTGCTGACGTCATCAAGTGCACTCTGGATATTTCTTTCTGTCTGAGTGTCCAGGGCAGAAGTGGCCTCGTCCAACAGAATTATTTTAGGAGCCTAAAAATAACTTCTAAAAATTTTTAAGGACGATCAAAAATCGGATGAAAGTCTCAAAAAGACTTTAATGTAAGGGTCGACCATGAAACTTGTATGACCTTGAGAATAGTTCTGGCGATTGCCACCCGTTGTTTCTCTCCCCCACTAAGCTTCTGCCCCTTTTCGCCGACCCTGGTCTCGTAACCGTCTGGGAATGTGTGGATGATCCTCTCGTGGATGTCGGCTCTTTCGGCTGCCACCTTCATTTCCTCCTCGCTTGCATCTGGCCTTCCGTAGTGGATGTTGTAGCTGGATACAAAACGAACAAGAATGGTCGTTTGCATGCAGGTAGCACTACTGATAGTTTCGGCCACAATGATACACGAAAAGAAGTCGAAAACCGAGAAGAAACGTTGGATACTTTTTCATTGCATTTTTTGGTTCATAGCTCTAATGAAATACATTTTTTTGAAAATTTCTTCAAAAGCGGTGAATTAAAACTAACATCATGAGTGGTAGAATGAGTTGTGATTATAGCTGAATTAACATTAGCATTGAAAGTAGAATTTATGTTTGAGATCAACTTCTATTCAGAAATTGTCCAATTTATTTCGAAATCGGAAACTTTCAGATCTTTTTTAGACCCTAAGAGAACAAAGTTGAAGTTTTTCAGAATCGGAATCACGAATGATAGGGCTCCAATATTATATTGCACTTAACGGCTCTTTTTCCTCCCCCCCCCCCCCCCCCACACACACCTCACATATACATCAATTTTTGAAGTAACAAGGGGTTTTACAAGGTTAAGTATGAAGATCAAATATGTTTGTCATAGCCTAATTAGTCCGCATACCAAATTTTGTAACAATCCCATGATGTGAACAAAATTTTACTTTTAAAATTTCGCAGGTGGGGGGGGGGAAGGAAAAAGAGCCCACTTAACTCCCTACGAGTTTTCTCAGAGGAGGCAAGATTTGACTGGAAAAAAATTGAACTGACCTATTTCGGTTTATTTTCTTCCCATTTTTCGGTAGCGTAGTCTCCTTTTGGCAACCAAAAGGTTGGTGGTTTGAGGCAGGGGCGGATATTTCCGTGGGAGGGGGTGGGGTGAACCCAATGCCAGAAAAACAAACAAAAACTATTCACAAAACGCAAAAAAAAACCATAACCATATTATTCCTAGCCCGTGAACAACAGCGGATTTGCGAAAAAAATCTAATTTGATCTGTCGTTTTTTTTTGCGGATAAATATTTTTAAGTTGAAAATCATCAGCGACAGCTCTTAACTGCGAATAAGGCGGAAAAATGATTCACAAGTAAGATCCTACTAGTGCCGAATGTAGGCGCAAAAAAGCGACAACAATACTGTCGCAACAATTTTTTCAAGATGATTCAACATGACTCACCCATATTTTCAGCATGACTCACCCAATTTCTTCAATATGACTCACCCAAAATTTTCAAAATGACTCACCCAGTATTTTTAACATGACTCACCCAATTTTTTCAATATGAAAAACCCAATATGGTTATTTTTCCTTTCCCCCCCCCCACCTGCAATTTTTGATCTTTTAAATTACTGTTCACCTTGTCCAATTGTCATGAAAATTGACATGCGGACTAATTAGGCCATGACAAACCTATTTGGTCATCATAATTAAACTTATAAAACCACTCGTTAGACCATAAAATTCATGTTGGTGTGAGGTAGGGGGGGGAAGGAAAAAGAGCTCCCAATATTTTAAACATGACTCACCCAATTTTTTTAAAATGACTCACCCAATTTTTTCAATATGACTCACCCAATTTTTTCAACATGACTCACCCGATTGTGTCACTGAACAGAACAGTGTCCTGCGGAACGACCCCGATGCTCTTGCGGAGACTATGCTGGGTCACTTTTGAGATGTCCTGTCCGTCTATTGAAATGCACCCGCCTTGGATATCGTAGAAGCGGAACACCAGCCGGATCAAAGTACTCTTCCCAGACCCAGACGGACCAACCACTGCAACAGTTTTTCCCGCTGGAACCTGTAAAATATGAGCAAAACTATATTAGGCAAATTGAGACAAGGCAAATTGAGACCAAACTTTTTTTTTGTATGGCATGTTTATGTATGCCTTGATCAATGTCTGATAAATTATAAATTCAATTTTTAAAAGTAACCATCTTTGAAAATGTTTGCCAAAATTTAAAAGTTTGATACTTTCGTTATATTATATGCGTAAGACAGAGTTACTAGATTTCAGGCCGTTTCCAATGCAATTATAATGCAAGACGGTCAAACCATTGTTTACTCAACTTTGAGTAACCAGTATTTTGTCACTTGAGTTCGGTTACGAACACAATCAAAACATTTGGAGAAATTGAAATGTAAAAATTCAACATTTTTATTTTTTATGGAAAAATGGTATTCATACAATTTCCATATGTGAAAAATCATTAATCATAGACCGTTCATGCAATTTTCTGTACTTATGGAATTGCATGAAAAGTGTATGACTAGTGTTTTGTTATATATAAAAATTATCGGATTAGCATTTTTGGTCAAGTTGGGCTTCATTCAATTGTTTTTTTTTCTTGTCATTTTTTGTTTGCAGTTTTTTTTAGCTTGATTCAAAGTTCAGGTTGCAGCATTTTTAGTGGCTGCATTTTTGGTTGCTGCATTTTAAAATTGCTGCATTTTTCGTTGCTGCATTATAAAGGTTGCTGCATATTTGAGTAAAGATTGCTGCATTATCTAGGTTGCTGCATTTTTGAGTAAAACCAGTCCAATTTTCATTTACATTTTTTATCATTTGAGGGTGTTATAACCGAAAATACCCATAGTTTGTAGCAAAGAAATATGCGGCGGTCACGAAAGTGGCACCGGTCGTGGTAACTTTTGCTAAGATCGTATCAATTGCGAACACTTTTTCTTCGCTCGCGCCGTTCGCGGAAATGTTCTTTTTTCGAACGTTCCAGTTGTGGGTTTTATAGTGGAGATTTTTCCCCGGCAACAATACAGTTTGAGTTTTATTAAAAAAATTCCCCAAAAATGGCTAGTTACCCACCCCGCGCACAAATGTTCCGTTACTTTCGTATCGAAAGTCGGAACAATAAGCTTTCAAATTTTCTAACAAAACTGTTGAGAAATTGAATCACTAGCAATTTCGTCGTAATAAAATCTAGTTTGATCAAAAAAGTCAGTGTAAAAAGATTCCACATTTTGTCAGCGAAATCCGTAAAAATTTAGTACTATCCGCAAGGGATTATTGTGCGTTTTGTTACGGTAGTACACATTGGCATAAACATTATAGATAGTTGGGTAAAATTGATTTAAGCAAGTTATCCCAAAACAAATCAAAAGATGCTAAGACTTGTAAACCTCGAAACTTTAATTTTGTCAATGATTCGTGAATTAATTTTTGAAAGTTTTAGCGGTTACAAATCACTGGTAGAGAACATAAAGCAGTGAATTTTTGAATGGAATGTTTCGGTCTTCTATCATTTTTGTAAGGTGCAAATAGTCCCAAATACCTAACCTTTTGACAAAAACACTCAAGAGAAATGAAAAGTTCATCCTCGAATTTTGCATGATGGAAAAATGGTTGTCATGTCCTGCCTGAAACACTTACAACTTGGCTCTGAGAGGTCTTAGGTGGTTTTTGAGACCATCATAGGGATCATGTCTGAGACTTTTCTGGGTGATGTCGGTCAAGTTATAGCCGAGGTGAAGAATGCTTGGCCGTAGAATTCACTTGGTGGTGTTGACGCCGTGAAATTTACACTCTTCATTTTGGCACTAATTTGACCGACATTCTCCAGAAAAAGTTTGTGGTGGAAGTCCATGGTGATCTCAAAAATTAAAATTATTTAATTTACAGCACTTTTGTATCGCACCTGAAATCCTAGCTACTTCTTTAGAGGTTTTTTTATTTTGTTTTGACATTCGTCAATAAAAGCCCGTCGTTTGATTTGAAGCAGACACCAAACCAATGGAGTTTTTGATTCACCAAATAATCCGAAAATAACGTCAGCTTGATGAAAAACTTCCGACGGTGATTTCAAAAGTCCATCGGAAGCAATTTTTCTACGTTTCGAAGGCGCGTTCAATTGACTCTCTCAAACCCCCCTCTCTGTCGATGTTCAACAAAAAAATTCCGTCCTGCGTTTCCACCCATTCATCTCCGACTCTTAAAGATTCGATGTTTTAAGGCATTTTTGACTTGTTTGTGTATCATTGACAATACAGTGTCAGTTTTTTATATCCGGAACCAGGAAGGATGTATTTCACTGGTTCCGGCTAAAATTTTGAATTTCACGGAGAAATAGTTGAAAAACTGTTTTGCTCAAAATTGCTCCAAAAACATGCAACTTCACGTAATCCACAACAAAAAATGCGCAATCCAGAACAGTTTGTGTAATCCACAAACAAATAACATTTCTTTGTGTTTAGTCAGCTTAAGCTGTCGTGGAAATAGCAACTGCAAGGGAAACCACAAATTGTAAACAGAATCTGCAAACTGTAAGCGGAAACCGCAAATTGTAAGCGGATTCAGCAAATTGTAAGCAGAACTGCAGATTGTGAGCGGAACCCGCATCAATTGGCGGAATCCGTTTGCATTAGTTTTGCAGAATCCGGAACAACTAGAAACTCTAGATCGACGCGGAATTCGCAACATTAATAACGTGCCGACAATTATTACGCAACAAAAATTTGTGCGCGGAATCCACGGAAATTTTGTAAGGTGAATCTACTTACTTGTTGACCTTGTTTGAAGACTTGTATCTGGATTCCAGTGACCTATAGACACCAAATTAACCACCTATCCCGTGCACAGGTTGGCCTCGTAATTTCACTTTTATTGCATATCAGATAAACAAAATTTGTATTTTGAACCTCGAATTTTGTTCACTTACGGACGCTGCGTGTCTCGAGATGTTCCAAAAAATTTGCATGATAGCTGTTGGTGTTCTACATCATTGGACCTAAATTTTTACCGCTGCCTCATAGTGTTAAAAATAAACCTTTGAAGTTTTTTCCTTGAAATGAAACAAATCTCAAAAACTCCAAACAATTAGCAACATGCTGGTTGCTTCAAGCTCGATTTTTTCTCAATAAGAAAAGCAAAACCGCAAGTCAAATACGCGACCTCGGAGTCCAACAAACCGTGCCGAAGAGCTCAGGTTTTAATACAATTTGAAGTGCAGTTGCAGGACTGAAATTTTGAGGCTGAAAAACAATTTACAGTCGAACGCAAAATCAAAACTTACCTAATTTTGGTCGAGAAGCGGAAACATAGAAACAATCGGTTTAAAGGTCTAAAACTAATAGAGCATTGCGCGAGCACAGTCGAAATTGGGTTTTCTGTTTTTTGATCAAGTAAATTGAAATACACCGAGACAGTCGGAACCCGCCATTAATTTATCTAGTCGGCCAAAATATATTAAACTCGGTTCGAGAAAGCCAAAGCAAAAGTCAAGAATTTCGAACTTGGTATCGCTTTTTTGTAAAAGTTGAGCATAAACTAAAACAAAATTCAGAATTTGAGAATGGTCTAAGCTACACTATGAATGACAAGTGAACATGTCTTCACCTTTGATTGCTGATTGCACGTGAGTTAGCCAATATTGTTTTCATACAATGCAAAAAACTTCTGAGATTATCGTATTGGTTTGAAACTATTTGAAACTATTTATTTCAATTATATTCTATTTCCCTGTAAAATATTAATTACTTAACAATCATGATCCATGAATAAATCTTAATCTAGATCCGTAAACCTGAAACCCTAGTGGTTCAGAGAATTGATAAAGATTGAAATCTGTTGCTTTTTTTCTCTCCTCTAATCGCAGTAAACTAGTATATCTCTAGATCTATTGATACTAGGAAATATAAGAGTAAGACTAGGATTGGTATTGGACTAAGGAGTTGCACGAACTTATCCCGCCAGAAATAAGATAGGGTGACGAAAAGATGGTGTACCTTATCTGAAAATACTGAATGAGTGAGCCACCCCAGGCGTAAACTGAATAGTTAATTCATGAAAAACTATTATTGTTTAATTCATGATTGTTAATTCATGAAAAACTATGATTGTTCAATTCATGATTTTTAATTCATGAAAAACTATGAATGTTTCATTCAGCATTGCTACTTCATGAAAAACTATGGGTGTTTCATTCAGGATTTTTAATTCATGAAAAACTATAGGATGGAAAAATTTAGGATGGACAGAAACCTACAAACCTGCTTGAAGTATCGGCAAAGTTTTCGAAAGAGTTACTAGCAAGATTCGGTAGCTAGCGACAGGCTAAAAATTTTTTACGCCTGAAGACAGGATCCATCACCTCAGGGCTAGCTACCAGAGAGCTAGCAAGAGAACGACTCTATCCACAACAACATTTACTATAAATCTGAAACAAAAACAAAATATTAAGAAACATCTAGAATCGTTAAAGATTCGCGAACAAATTTTTGACAAGGACACGAAAATATTGGAAATAAAGAGATATTTCTTAGAACAAGAATGAAAAGTTAAAGAATTGTAGAGCCTCAGATGAGACAAAATTCTTTCACGATACTATAGAAAGAAAATCAAAACCAATGAACTTAAAAGTTTCCAGATTTTTTCCAATATTAGCCGATGCGGGTTTATTTTGTACAATTATTGAATTCTTGGATTTCCTGGAAAGACACCTAGCAAATGTTTAGGCCTGATTGTCAAAGGTGGTTTTTGAAGGTGATAAATTTTCTTAAACAATCCGACAATTCAAGTTTTCCGTCACTTTGGTAATATGAAAACTGTAGGTTAAAAAACTTCATTTTCAAAAGTTTCAAACTATATTCCAGTCTTCCTGACAGGGTTCGTGGATGTTTCCTTTCAGGAAGCCAAGAATAACCCTGAACTCTGAAACAATCATGGCAGGAAGTCCTAGTTTTTCTCTCTGGCTACTTAAACCCGGGTATCGAATACTAAAAATCACACACAGACTATCGATTTTACCCTCCTGCAATGAAGTACAAAGTTTGCTCTGAAGTACAAAG